GGGTTGGGGGGCTCACGGGGCTGGCACCCGGGAGCGAGGGGTGCGGAAGCGCTCTACATGGCGCATGGCGTGGCCGGGCGTGAGGGCTGCGGGACGTGTGCTTGCATTCAGGCAGTCCCGTGATGACAGACGATGGTGGAAATAGCTACTGTATGTTGCAGCCAAGCTCCACAACGTGCAGAGCCGGGTGCTCGTGGCAAAGCATAGGACACGCGCTGCGCTGCGCTTGCTTAGATATTGTCACTGGTCATGCCTCACGCCTTCCCGCCGCCAGCTTCCCTTCAGGTGTGCAAGATGGTGGTGGACGTGGCGCGCGGGGCGGGCCAGCGCACTGTGGTGGTCCGCCACCCCATGCCCTACGGCATCCTGCAGGAGCAGGCGGTCCAGCGGTTTGCGACAGGCACGTACATTTCGGGACGGGATTTTGGACGGTGGTTGTGAGCGCGAGGCACCAATGTGGACTAGCCAAAGGCCTGCGCCTCGGTTGTTGCTGGCTGGAGTGAGGGCGGCCGCATGCGCACATGTCAGCTCCCTCGCGCAACACACAGGGCCTGTTTTCAGGTGTGCTGCGTGAGGTATTACCAGCAGCCCTGCCGGCAGTACCTGTGTGGCCTACGCCCAGAGTGATGTACAAGTTGCTCCCCCCGCCCCATGCCTCATCCCTTTGTCCCGGTCTGGTGTGTGCGTGTACCCCCAGTCGAGGACCTGGCGGTCCACCACACCACCATTGAGGAACGCGAGGAGTATGAGCAGCACATCAACAACGGTGCGTGCGCGCAAATGCGCGAGTACGTGCTCCCCGTGCGGTTGGGTCGTGCTTTTGTACTTGCCAGTCCCTGGGGTGGAGGAGCACATCCGTCTCGCGGTCATCCGCGCAAGCATCCAGGCTTCACAGCCAGCTGCCGCACCTGCAACCTGCCCGGCATGATGGCCGAACCCCTGCGGCGCGTGATCCAGCCACTGACCGCCAGCTGTTTGGCACTCGTTGCTGGCCGCCGCTCTCACTTCCCCTAAGCACGCCAAAATTGGGAGCTACTCTATCTTGCATTTGCTTCTCGCCCTACAGCCACGTCCCCCACCTGCCGGGTCTGCCCTGCCCCACCCACCACCCACAAGGCGCCGTCGTGTTTGCAGGCGTTGACTACGCCGCCATACTCAGCGCCGCCGAGGCCGAGGCCGACATTGTGCTGTGGGACGGCGGCAACAATGACCTGCCCTTTTTCAAGCCGGGTGAGGCGGGTGTGCTTGATACAAGGCTTACTTGCAGCTGCGCCTGGGCCCTTGGTGCTGTCTCATCTCCAACCCCGGGTGCAATTTGCATGTCAGGTAGGCTGCGTGCACGCCTAGTTGCACCCCGATGTCATGTTACTCAACGGCTGTCAAAGCACACTCCTCCCCTCCTCCTTGACCCCAGACCTGTGGATCGTGGTGGCGGACCCGTTCCGCCCCACCGCCCAGGCCAGCTACTACCCCGGCGACGTCAACTTCACGAGGGCCGCCATCATCGTGGTCAACAAGGCCAACACGGCACCGCAGGTTTGCTGGTTGTGGGGGAGGAGTTGATATATTTTTGCAGAGCGCACACGCCTTGGTTGTTGGCTTGGGCACCTGGAAGGTGAAAACAGGCGAGTGCCTTGTGGCATGCCGAGAGGCTCAGGCTGTTGGAAAGTGCAGGCGGGGTACGAGGGGGTGGCAGGGCCGCTGGAGCTGGTGTCCATGCGATGGAGCAGCTCAGCCTGTCGACGCAACGCTCTGGTTGCAGGAGGGGGTGGAGGCAGTGCTGGCGAGCGCCAAGAGGCTGAATCCCAACGCCTTGGTGTTCTGCACCTCTAGGTGAGGAACAATGACCACATGGGTGCCATGGGAGGCACGGCTGTGCTGGAAGGTGGAGCGCAATGCATTGAGTGCAGAAGTCCCAGTTGGCGTCACGAACATGCAGAAGACCTCCAGGACTCCCTTTGCCGTGAATGCAATGGCAGCACAGCAAGCGCAACCCCTATCAAACTAGGTCACACACCTAAGATTGCCACCACACCCACCCCAAACCTTCCCAAAAACGCGCGCGTGGCGTACGCCACCATGGAACCCAACACCACCCCAAACCCAAACACCCCATTTCCACTCAATTCGCTGCGCTCCAGTGAGGTGGTGGCGGCGGACCCCTCTGCCATTGCGAGCAAGAGGGTGGTCGTGGTCGAGGACGGGCCCACGCTCACGCACGGCGGCATGCCCACAGGCAAGTAGCAGAAGCTTTCATACATCACCTGCACCACCCTACCATGCACTTGCGTGTGCATGCAGCATTCAACGCACAGCCTAAACTCGTGCGCCCTCTGGATGGCCTGATCATGCAGTATGCCTCATCATACGGTGCGCCCATGCATGCCGCGCAAGCAATCGGGCTTCATGACGGCGCTACCTGCACATGCGTCCAGCAGGCGCGGGATGGGTGGCTGCGTCCAGGTACGGGGCTGCGCAGGTGGTCGACCCGCGACCCTTTTCCGTTGGTGAGATGGCAGCCACCTTGGCCAAGTACCCCCACATCGGGAAGGTCGTCCCTGCCATGGGCTACAGCCCAGCACAGGTGAGACCGTGCCCACGCGTGCACGTGCAGCTAGGACTCCTGCAGCAAGGACGCACCGGTGTGAGTGAGGCAGCCCGCCCGACTGCTGCCCTGCGCCGCACCTGTGCTGCTCCCTTTCCCGCCTGCATGCTGTAGCATAACGGACGCAACCTCAGCAGTACTGCAAGGTGAAATCGCCACTGCGCCCATGCAGGCCATGAGGTTTGCCTGTGCAGCACAGCTCAACCTATAATGCCGGCTGGTACCTTGCCACTTCCCACTGTCAGACCAACCTCCCACGGCCAGTTGCTGGTCTCCCCCCCTGTTGTCACCCTGCTACCCCTTCCGACCCACCCTGCTACCCCTCTTGACCCAGGTGTCTGACCTCGAGGCCACTCTGAACGCAGTGCCCGCTGACGTCATCGTGGTGGGCACCCCTACTGACCTCACCCTGGTCATGCACCACCTCAACAAGCCCGCCGTGCTGGTGACCTACGGCATAGCCCCCAAGGAGCAGGGGGCGCCACAGCTGCGAGAGGCGCTGCAGAATTTCATGGGGGCGCTGGTGCCCGCCAGGGCGTGACCTCACACATATTCAAGGTATGCTGGACTGGCGCAGAGGCAGCAGGGAGGGGCAGCTGTGACAGCAAAGCAGGCGTGGTGCGACACCCTCATAGACTGGCTCATGCTCACTTCCGTTCGAGCTGCTGTGTGTGGACCTGAGGGAAGGAGCGGACCAAGGGACGCAGGGGTGGAGACCAGGTCAGCCAACTTCGGCCAAGGCGATTCACGCGAGCAAGGGTTTGAAGGGCATCATAATCACCGTTCTTTCACCACTGTGTATACAAGCTCAACGCATGCTGTTGCGCATCCCAACAGCCTGTTGCGGAAGCATGCGGCTGTGTGCATGCTGCACCTGATCTGCTCTGGAAACCCAGCCGCCGTGGGGGTCCTTTGTGCCTATATGAAATATAAGTATGGGCCTTACCTACATGTGGCATACATGATGAGCTTGCCTAATCGAAACGCGCATGCGGCGCCTGGCCCTTGTATCCTTCATGCCTGACTTTGGCACAGCACACGTGTGATTGGCATACCACCCATGCTGCATGGGCTTAGCAGCGGCCCCCCTGATTATGGGGTCCTGTTGCTCACGATTACACCTTGTAATGTCTTGTGGTCTGGAGGGGTGTCGAGGTGATGGGCGAGGACCGTGCGGTGGAGCATGAGCTCTGCAACTGCGTTTGAGTAGGGATGGAAACGATAGTGCCAGGTGGTGGACGTGCTCACCTGCGCTAGACTCGTGCTACATGCATTTAACATGGTTTGGGATGTGCAAACCCCGCAATTCGGTAAGGGATCCTTTTCCTGTGCATAACAGGTCGCCTGGTATGGTTAATGAATGTTGGTGGTTGAGTGAGCAAGCGTGCAACTGTTGACACATGCTTGGACACTATGTTGTGATGTTTGCCCCACTCTCCATACCTCATATGCTGCGAGCCGGCCCCACATCACAATGAGGCAGCCTGGGGGGCTGAGGCTGTTGCAAGCGCCTTGTCGCTGGCGTTTCTCTGGCACTCACTGACCCAGTGAAGTGCGCAATGCCGACGAGTGCCCAGTGCGCGCCGCCCGATAAGTGATGAGCTGGGGAACCGTGTCAACCTGACACGAATACTAATACAACACATTGACTAGTTATAATTGCCGTGTCATGTTCCAGCCTCGGTGTGGTACGGCGGAACCAACCTGGATCCAGCAACTTGGCTCCTTGATCCATCGTTGTCAGCGAGTGTTCCAGACGAGTGACTCAACGCTGTACTATCATAGTGGGGACTAGGCGTGGCGCTAGCGAGCAGTGCTCAAGAATGGCGCTTTGGCAGAGAGGAGCGCCGGCACGGCGCGCGCCGGTTGCGCTGTTGCCGCTGCTGCTTCTGCTCGGTGCTGCCCTACCGGTAGCCCTGGAGGCCAAGGTGTGCGAATTTCTATTGAGGGCGCAGGGCTTTGCGAACGCTGTCCACAGGACGGATTGGGATGGGCATGCAGCAATTACGCGTTGTTGCTTCGGCACGAGCGCCAGCGCGTCCACAACCCCCCTCCGCGCTTGTCTCACTCGCAGGTGACGTACACCCACGTATATCGTGATGACCGGTCGCTGATCCAGATCGCCCCAAACTTTGCATTTGCGGATAGCGGCCGCCTCGACATCGTGATTACAGGTGCGCCACACCCCTGTCGGCGTCCTGCTTTACCTCTTTCAGCCGACTTCCCGCAACAATCCTGAGGCTGGCCCGCGTTAACCCAAGAGCTGATGAGTTCAGGGGCCATATGATGCTTTGATAGGGCGATGACAACTTCAGGCCCGCCCTCACAACTGTGAAAGCACCTGCCCCCCATGAATGCGATCACGGGGGCATGGTTGCGCCTTTGTTGTGCTCAAGTTCCCTCACCCGGGCCTATCACCTGCCGCAGACATCTCCTTATGGCAACGCCACGAGCAGGACCGTGACGTGGTGTACGACAACCTTGGGGTCTTCCTGGCACCGGTGGAGGAGGTGCGACACCCCTCCCTCGCGGCAGGCTGTGCAGGGAGCAGTCAGTGCCCGTGTGCCCGTCAGCGGAGGCACACCCACTCGCCGCCGTGGGGATGCCGGCCTGATCCGTGGCTTTGAGGTGGGCAAGCGAGCGTGGTGAGGCTGCAAGAGGCGTTGTCATACTCATTGCAAGAGAGCTGCACACGGCTGTCTCACCCCCTCATGCCCCGCCCTACACCCGCCTCTGCCGCGACCCATCCCAGGCTGGGGCCGATGAGGGTTTGTCTGCACAGCTGGCGACTGGCAACTGCCTACTGAGCGACAGGGAGGCGAAACTGTTCACGTTTGCCAAGCCCCAGGTGGGCACCACAAACGCATGCTACCCAGCCTCTTGACATGCGGATTTGAGTGGCCCTGAGCATTGCCTTTCCATGCGGCCCAGGATCGTCAATCCTTGCGACGCTACACAGGTCGCCAGGGTAATAGCTGGGAAGGACACCAATGCAACGTTCTTGGTTGATGTTGAGGACGGCGGATGGGTGAGCTGCCAACCGCCTCGGAGAGTGGGAGAGAGGTGGCGCTGGGCGCGTTGGTGGGGTTGTTGGGGGGCGATAGTGACATCGGGACAGATATGGCTGTTCGCAGGCATGAGGAGCTGCTGCTCTTGGCAGGCCTGATTCCTGATTCCTCGTGCCACCCTCTCACCAGACCCGTCGGATGTGTTGCCCCGCCCCCACTCCCCTCACCAGCAACCCTCCCGACTTGCCTTTGCCGACTGCCACATCGCAGTATGCCCTGTACTTTGCAAACTGCGATGGTGCCGCGGTGTCGTTCAGGGCCGTAGTGTCCATGTACAATTTGCGGCCCGATGGCAGCAGGGACTACTTGGCGGTGGGCGAAACAGAGCTTGGCGCAGTCTACTGGGTGAGTGCTCCGTGATGGTTTGAGGAACGGGTGAGGTGCTGCTAGGTTGGAATGTGACGACTCTAATGGTAGCAAGAATAGTGTTTGGGTGGTCCAGTGAGTTTGCAGGTGGCTGGGGCTCAGCTGCGCTGCATGCGGTCGACCAAAGCCCCCGGTCATGTTGCCCGCCCCTCCCAGGCAGTCAATGCTTGCCACGCTCTTTTGACGCCTCTTCCCCTGCAGACCATGTTTGGGCTGTTCCTGGCCCTGACCGCGGCCTGGACCGCTGTGCTGGTGTTGCGGCGCGAGTGCGCCCACCGCATCCACCTCCTGATGGGGGCCCTGGTGCTGTTCAAGACGCTCACCCTCATGGCGCAGGTGACAGGGGAGGGGAGGGGCCACAGCAGAGAGACCCCTTGATCAGGACTGGACATGTCTGGAGAGCAGCTTGCAAGGAGGCAGGCAACAGCAGTGATTTAGTGGCAATCGGCATGGGGCCGCCCGGGCGATGGTGCGAAGCGTTTCCCAGCCCCACCGCGCCCGCCC